TTTGGTACAAAAAACAGCAAAAAAGAAATATTAGAGATGCTGATAGAGTCGAGCATAAAAAATAGTGACCTTGAAAAGCACGGAAATAGATTCAACGAACCTATCAAGTTGTTGGGCATCTTTTCATTAATGGTGGAAGACTGTTGTATGAGACGTTACATGCAAATATGAAAAATGCTCTTCCATCAGTATCTACCATTTATCGTAGTATAGACGATGAAAATAAAATAAGAGAGGGTTTACCTAGATTTCAAGAACTGAAGCGGTTCCTCTTCAAGAGAGGGTATCCTCTTAGTGTGTGGGTCAGTGAAGACCAAAACACACTTGTTAAAAAAGTCGAATACGATCCATTCACCAACAAAATGGTAGGTTTTGTTATTCCTTTTGAACCAAATGGATTTCCATAACAAAAAAATACGAGGTAAATTCTGTTAGAGATATAGAAGAAGCATTTCATACAGCAGCAATTGCTTCCAACGCATATGTGATAATGGCTCAACCAATGGTGCAAAATTTTAGAAGTGAACCATGGCACCACCTCAGGGAACCTGCTAATTATCAATTCTTAAAATATAATTAACTATTATTAATTGTGCTCACTAGAGTACATAATTGTGTTTTAAAACTTAGAACAAAAAAAGTAAATGATTTGATAAATTTGGTACCAAGAAGTATTCATTTGTGTTTATCCGTGGACTTCGAATACGGTCGAGCGTGCCAAGCTGAAACTGGCTCGTATTTTCCTACAAGTGTGGACTTCCGCGGGGAGTAGAGGGGTGGGAGGAGCGAAACCGAAGTAGCGTTTTATACGTACAACTTGAGCCATCAGAAGTTTGGCTCATAAGCACAATTGTATAATGTGTACGGTATTGTCGGTGTTACTATACTTTGCGCCGTTTTCCTTGTTTCAGTCTTGATAAGTCAAACAATTTTTTTTACTTCTGTATAAGATTACACTTCCCGGATTAATTGTTATTGTTACGTAAAATACACAAATTAAAAAATCATTTAAATAAATCTTTTTCCATGCATTCTCTGGAAGATAGATTTTAAATAAAGCAATTAAGCAGGCCGTTACCGGACTTAAATATTGTTAGAAAACGAAATGTGTCTGAATCTTCTTTAAGAGGACACGACAATAGCAATAAATCCGAAAATAAAGGAGTAGGTATTCAGAGAATTAATAAATTTCAGTACTTGTTTAGATAAAGATTTGAATAGTTATTTGTAGTACAACTATTGTTGAAAATGATACTTCGGCCTCATTAATAAAACTGCAAATAAAATGTTGTTATTGTTTATAGATCGGACTAAACGCCATGGAAACGGATAGTACAAATCGTGAAAAAAGTAACACTTTCCATACGATTTTTTGTCAAAAAAAATCCGCTAATTCTCATCTAAAACAACACAAAATGAATTACTTGAATGCATACTTGAATTATACTTATGAAACAAGTCTCCAAAGAAACTAAAGGGGCTAGATTTGTTTCCGTCACTTGCATTATAAATATTCGAATTATACTCAAAATCTAAATAACTGGAATAATATGAAAACAAAAATTTGTAACTATTAAAATAATGGGGAGGGGGACACAATTTGGCACTACCTTCTACGCAGCTTACGAGCCGCCACTGCTGTCAAGGGGCAGTTATGTGGAAATGTGAATACGATCATTAAGAGTCTTCTGTACCCACTGCACCCAATGTAAATTTCCATAAGAGCGCCCGCCATAAAAACTCTATTTGTTTTTCCAAAAACAATTTTTTTTAAGAACTATTTTATAAATTTAGACCTTTATCTACAAAATGTTCGGACTATTTTTTTTTTAAGTTTATAGCAACTGAATACCGATTGTTTAAAGATTAGATGTTTCGCACCGATTATTGCGCTAATCTGTTTTATTTTTTTACTCTCGATCAAGACGATTTATGGAAAAAGTAAACCGACAGTTTTTTAGATAAGTTACTTCTAAACATGGACCCAAAAAATGAAATCATAATTTCTGTAAATAAAGTCTGTATCTTGGCGGGCGTTAAATCAACAATTTGAGTGAAACAAGTGGCGCCACTGCACAGTGTCGGTGGGAACTAACTAAGGACCAAGACAGGAGTTGACAAAGCAAGAATATTATCTTATCTCTTGCAGCTATAATCATCTATACACTATAATGTAAAAAAGTTGCGCTTAGGTAAAGAAGACTCTTAAATGGGCCCCTCTAGGTATATGAAGAAGATTGTATTAATCATCTTTGATATCCTCGCTATAGTTTTCACAATAATCTACGACCTGTATATAAATTAATTAACTAACATTGATTGAAATAAGTATAACATTACCATAGCTGTCGGAAAAGAAATGACCGTTGTACGCCCTCGGCTACACCCCAACTCGTCTCTTTATGCAGTGAAACCCCTATAAATAATTCCTGAAACTCTAGGCATGAAAACTTTCTTATACAGGGTGTTCATGCAATAATAACTATTTTTTTTCTCAATAATTCAAAAAGAATTAATCAATTGATTGAGTGCCGATAATACAGGGTGTGCATCCTCGGGTGATTTTAAGGAGAAAATTTATATCTGCAGATGCCCTAAACCTGTTTTTGAGCTACGGGGTGTTAAAATTTTAAGAAAAATCACTTACATATTTTTATGAAATTTTGTACACCTTTTCATCAATAAGGAGCCTTTTTTGACGTAAAATATTTTTTAAAATTTTCGCCAGTGACGTTCGAATGGGGTTTGAACTGACCATTTTATTTAATAAGTTTAGTTCCTCCTTAAAATCACCCGAGGATTGACACCCTGTATTATCGGCACTCAATTAACACCTTGTATATTCATTACCACCGTAAAGGTAATAACGATATAACCGTACTTATTTTTGTTTATTCCGAATTCCATTGTTATACATGGACACAAACCCCTTAAAGTAATAATTCTAATTAGATCGCGATTTTTTATGATACTCCATATTGTGTTAATACGTCCGTCCGCGCGGTCGCTGCTAGATCTTTATCTTAAGGGCTAAGTCAATTTTTTTATGTACCATAATTTTACACCTTTGCTGTTTATTAACGATCCTCGAGATATATAATCATTAATTTATAATTTCGTATTGTCTGTTTGTCTGTCTGTTGTCTGTCTGCCTATCCGTGTGCATGATAACTTTGTTTAGAACCGTCGGATCACTTTGAAAATTGGTACGCATGTTCTTAAGGATATAAGAAAGGTCGGTATTTTTCAGTTACGTAGACTAACGGGTCAAAAAGGTACAGCCCAAAAACCTCCAAAAAGTAAGGTTCTTTTTTATCATTCTTCTTACAAAGAACATATGAATGCCCGGTTTTCTTAAACCTCAAGCAACTATGCAGACGAATTTAAAAAACTCATAACTGCACAATTTTTTTATTTGTCGAGATATTTGAATGAAACCTTGTATATAGGCACGTAATTGAGAAGTAATTTTTAAATGCAAAATTACAGCACGTATGACAGACAGATAAATATATATTTTCTCATTAACAACACTATTCATTTACATGGCAACATACATTATTTATTTTCTAAATTGCATAACACCAACACTCCCTCTCAATTTAAGCATAGAATTATCTACAACTTCTAGAACGTCAAATAATGCATGGATAAACAAATTATACAAAGCTAACCTCTCTCTCTCTCTCAAACAGTAGGTATAACAAATATTGAAAAATATACTAAACTATCCCTATTCCGGTTCTACAATTTGAGAACAATACGCAATCAGCGGTTTCGTAAGTATATCCGCTAGCTGATGTTTAGTGTCAATATAGGTTACAGTCACTAACCCATCGTTAGCAAGATTTCTAATAAAATTATATTTCACGTCAACATGTTTCAGTCGTTTCGTGAGGCTTGTGCAAGATTGATTGTCTTCATAAATTTTGAAATACGTTGGAGATGAATGCATATCCATCAGTAGTTGTGACAACCACAATCCTTCTGGAGCTGCTTCCGATAAAGCAATGTATTCTGCCTCTGTTGATGAGACTGCAACAGTACTTTGCTTTCTTGTACACCAATTGACTGTCCCTCCATAAAATTTGAATAAAATCCCGTTGTTGATTTGCGATCTGTCGTATCGTCTGCCTAATTTGGAGTCTGCATAACCTTCAAGTTGTTCATCAATATTCCTGGGAAATAGTAGCTTATAATCAGTTGTTCCTTTAATATATCGTAGAATTCTTTTCAATGCATTCCAAAGCTCATCTGTACTACAGCTTTGATATCTGCTACAAATAGGTATTTAGTGATGCACTGAGATCTGGCCGTGTAGAAAGCATAGCATACACAAGCATACATAAGACAACCGATCAATTCGCGCACTGGTTTTGTTTGAGTGCTTTTGGAATTTTCATTTTTGAATCCCTTGATCATCGGTGTCTTTACTGGATTACAGTTTATCATGTCGAAACGAGCTAGAAGATTGCAAAGGTAATTTTTCTGGCTAAGATAAACACCATCCTCCGTAAAACTTATGTCAATACCTAGAAAACATGTAACGTTACCCGTTCCGTATTCAGTTGTATCTTGTATCAGATTTTTGTGCTTTGACATTCTATACGCTAAGAATATGTTGTGCATGCGCAGTGCTAACTTTCTTATTTGTGAACGGATTGTTTTGGTTAAATTGCTGAAAACGAATTTGGCTGGAGTAACTAATCAAAGACTGTTAATGTGGAAACGCGCTTTTTGTACATCGTTTACGATTACTTTTTGAACTAGTTTAGTGTTGTCTTTGTAGCGACATACGATAAAGGCCTTCAAAAATTAGAATTAGCATTGCTGCTATCAGATGTAGAATCTGAAGATGAATCAATAAAAAAGTCATTTGAAAAGGGATTCTTCTGAGGAGGATTCTTGCGTCAGTAGAAAAAAGAAGACATTGAGAACCATTTATGAAAGCGACGAGGACAGAGATGAGGACAGTTCAGAATCTTTAAATAAATCGCGTCGTCTACTTCCCTTTCCAAACAAACCTCAGTTACCTGTAGTAATGCATGTTGAAGAGCAGTGCAGCAACACAGTGCAATATACCGAACCAGCTCAGCGTCAACTAAGCGTGATACGACATGTTGAAAAGCAGCATACCACTCCTATGCAATATACTGAACAAATCACACGTAAAGCTTTTATATGCTATAATAAATTAACATTAACAAGTATAATTTTAGCTGCTACTGCAACATGTGTTTCGGACGATTCGGAAGGGTCAGGTGTTTACACACCTCGATCTTCGCAGTATGAATCTGATGGTAAGTAATAATCGACAGTTAATTTAATAAATTTTGATTTTAGTTGCCATTTCAGACATGAACAAAAAACTGAACATTATTCTGCATAAATTAAATAAAATCGAAAATCAATTACAATTATTAGAACAAAACCAACAAGCAAATCCATCACTGGTTCCTTCCAAAATTTTCCGTTAAGCAGTATCACCAATTTAGAACATTTTGAGGAGAGGCGAAATGAAACGTATTTAAAAAAAAAAGGTAATAGTACATTATATATCAAGGTAGAGAAGTCCAGTATTATTCTCCGATTATTCAGTTGCTGCTGTGCCTATTAAGTGGCTATTTAACTCAAGAATCCCGTGCTTTTGGCCCTCAACTGGTGCGTCTAAGTTATTTAAAGAAGATGTGGATGCTCAAGTCACCTGGAAGCTGTTTTCTGTTAACAGAATTTTTGGAAGTTTCTTGTTATATTTGTTTTTTTTTGTATTTATATTTGACCCAAATTTGTAGCATCTTATAGCACTGCTCGGATGCAAGCAAAAGAAGCTGAAAATACTTCTAATCTCGAATCAGAAAGTGAGTCGAAACAAAAGCAAACATTCAATTGTAAAACCACTTCCATCAATTAATTTTGTAACTAATATTATTCAACCACCACATTCAACAACTGATGGTGAGTTAACAAATGTTCCGAATAGCAGTTTTGCTCAAGCAGCAATGCCAACCATTGAAACCTCGCCAGAAATTCAAACATATCGCACTTTATCGTCTGCTGATGATACCATATTATATATATATATATATATAATTGCATGTGGGACCACATTATATATATATATATATATAATTGCATGTGGGACCACATTATATATATATATATATTATATATATATATAGATAAAAAAATTTACATTAGTAGACGCGAAAATGTTTTATACTTCAAATCTTGAAGTGTATGTTGGTAAACAGCCCAATGGTCCTTATGCTGCTGACAATAGTGGAAAGTCTGTCGTTGAATGGCACCTATTGCGAAAATCGGAAGGAACATTACCTGGAAAAGACGCCCGATATTAACTGGAGTTGAGTCAACAGCCAGATCTTTTGATACCTTCTTAAGGCGCGTATTCACCAAAAAATTCGGCGCGAACCGTTCGCAAGTAGTTCGTAAAATAGGCATCGACGTGTTTGCGAGCAGCTTACGAACACGTAGTGACGGGCTTTGGTTAGTTCGCCGGAAGTTACACGTAATGTCCACACTGAAAACAATTTTAACTAAAGCGCATGTTCTCCAACGGTTCGTGAAAAGTTCCGATTTATCTACAAGTTTGTGCATTGTCATTTGTCAATTCAGTCACCACCAGTGTTCAACGCGTCGTTATTAATACGTTGACAGTTATGGAGTGGAGTGAGGAAAAAGTGATCGAGCTTATTGAAAAATATCGGGAGAAGCCCGTTCTGTGGAATGTTAAATTAAGTGTGTACCGCAATAAAATAAAGACAAATGATGATTGGGTTGCGTTAGCAGCTGAAATTAATGTGCCGCGTGACGAAATAGAACGAAAAATGAAAACTTTATTAGCACAATTTCGTCGTGTATGGCAGAAAGTACAGAAGATGGTAAAATCGGGAATGGGTACTGATGAAATTGATACAAGAGTATGGTTTGCATACAAAGCTTTTGCGTTTCTCAACGACTGAAATGAACCAAAAGCAACAATGGATACAATGGGACAGGTAAGTAAATACAGAACCATATCGTTTTCATTTATTTAGGCAAGCATATTTTGCCACGGTACAGCACCCTCATTAGAAAAATATTCTGAGTATTCATCTCTAACTTCTTGGGCGGTAACTGCCGATTTTCTAGCAACCCTTCGCAGAGGTAAAAGAGACGTTAAGTCTGCAGAGTGTTGCCTCCATTCGCCCTCAATCGTCCGATTGTCATCTTCAAAGTCAAAAGATCCGGGTGGAGCGTATACGTTGCGCGATGATGGACTTTTTTTAAGAAAGTTGTGTAAAAACACGCATGCCAAAGTCACAATTTTTGCCTTTTCAGGTTCTAACAGCATTGGTTTTCGCAACACTCGAAAAACTACTGATAATATACCGAATGCATTTTCTACGATCCTCCGCGCTCTGCTTGATCGATAATTAAAGATTCGCTTTTGTGATCCCTCTTCATGATTGCCAGGATAGGGTTTCATTATGTGTTCTTGTAACGGAAAGGCGTCGTCAGCTACATAAACGAAAGGCACAGCTGTGTTCCGGTTTGGCAGTGCACTACTTGATGGAAGATTGAGTTCCCCTGTACTTAATTTAGAATAAAAGTTTGAATTTCTGAACACTCTCCATCTGAAATCCTACCCTGGCATCCAACATCAACATATAAGAACGAATAGTCGCTATCCACCACGGCCATCAAAACAATGCTGAATGTCCCTTTATAATTGTGGTCTGTTCCGGTTTTAATAGGGGCTTGTACAACAACGTGTTTGCCGTCAATTGCTCCCACACATTGTGGAAAATTCCATCTTTTTTTAAAGCCATCCGCAACCTTTTGCCACGATTCGATCGAATTAGGCACCTGCAACAACATGGTATTAAATAAATGTCGTATGTAGGGGAGACCGGGGACAATTGTAACAATTTTTAAATAATCAAGTTCCATTTTGTAGGTGTTCATGAAAATTATCTGAACTCTTGGTGGTGCATTAGGACATGTTTCCTGTATGTGTCGGCGAAGTAGGGGCTATATTTGGATAATCTGTTAAAAAAAATGATATTGTATCTATATAGCTGTCACATGTTACATTTGTACCGCGTCTGGGGACAAATGTAACGAACCTGGGGACAATTGTGACAACTTAATTTACGTTGAAATAAAACCCATCGAATTACTTTTCGTTTTTAATTTTTGAAATAACATAAATGCATTTCTGTAATTTAACAAAAAAATAACAATAAAGTAATTAAAATTCTCAAACACTTAGGTAAATAGGTAGATATTAATCTCTGCAGTTGATGCAGTAGAAGAAAAAGCTATCCTCTTCATCTCTACAGTCCGAATGGCACCAGCTCTTGCAGGACTGACACTGTATCCACTCCTCACCACGCTTGTCATTGGAGTAGGGCTTTAGGCAATACAGACATACTGCGTCGTCCTCATCCGATGAACTAGAAACTACACTTTTTTTCTTATACACCTTTCTCTTTACTTTCTCAGCGTTCTTTTTTCGAAGTTTGGATGCCTCTTCCTCAAGTGCCATCTTCTCAGGTGTTTCAGTTAGTATTGCCGTTGATCTCTTTTTCCTTATAACTTTTTTCTTGAGATTTAATGGAACCTTTGGAAAGGGCCGAATTGTTTCCAATAATTCTTTGGAATTGTTTAATGCGTCTATTTGGTGAGTATCTATTTTCGTTGGTGTTTTATTGCCAATGATGTGATCAGATTCTCGTGATGTTGATGGAATAGGGTCAGTTTGAACTAATTGGGGGATCTCTGCTGCGTTGTATAGGTTGGTGGTTAAAGGGGTGTCAGTCGGTAGAGAGGGTGAAAACTCGTAGTCTTGAAACACATCTCTATTAAAAGGAAATATTCCCGACACTTTGAATCCACTAAGGATGTTAGTTGGCGTAGTAGCTTTTGGTAATGCTTCGGCGACAAGTCCTGGTAAGTCATATATCCCCATGGTCTGTCCGGGATGATTTTTCATCCAAGCGTCCATAGCACTGTTCATATATGTTTTTAGTGGACCATATACACTTCGATCTAAGGGCTGTAATTTATGCGAAGTGTGAGGCGGAAATGACAGAAGAACGATTCCGTTGTCTCTGCAGAAGTCGATAGTTTTTAGCCCTAAATGTGATCTATGATTGTCGAGAAGCAGGAGGATTTTATTTTCTTGTGAAGGTTTACTATATTTGGCAAAATGTTTTATATAGGTGAAGAATGTGTCTGTGTCCATCCAGCCAGAACCATTGGCTTCTCCGATTGAACCAGTTGGAGCCCCGGTCATGAAAAATGGTTTGAATCTCTTCCTAGGGAATATAAACATGGGAGGAATAGCGTTGCCTATAGCATTTACAGCTACACAAAGGGTAACTAACGTTCCCCTTTCACCAGAAGTTACCGCCCCGACTTGCTTAGTGCCCTTAGTTGAAACAATTTTACTCGGTTTTTGCACTGTGGTAACCCCCGTCTCATCTACATTGTATATGTTGGCGGCTTCAAAATGATATTTATCCATAACTTTAGATAAATTATCAAAGAATTTTGTAACGTTGACTCTGTTAAAGTTCACGGCCCTAGCGTGACTTGTGGCCTCTGGCACTCTAATTGACAATGTTGGATTTCTGTTCATAAAGTTGGAGAACCAATCTCTAGATCCCATTTTGGTAACGTGCCATTGCTCGGGAACTGTAACAGATTTCCTAATGGCAAATTCGTATACAAGAGAACGAACATCAGTTGGCGTAAGTCCAAAATATAAGTCAGAAGAATTCCGTATGTAATCACAAAATATATGTTCGTCTTCTGGAGATAGTATCCTATTATGTGAATTGTAACCAACTCTAGGTTGTTCAATACCATTTTTAATTTTCTGTATGTATCGGTGTACAGTTACATGACAGATTTGAAGTTGTCTTGCGGCTTCTCTTACGGAGATGCTTTTTTCCAAGACTAGGGAAGCTGCTTGTTGCAATTGTGTGCTGGAAGACCCCCTTTCTGTTTTCCTAATCCTGGACCGTGGCATACTCTGCAAGCATGGTTGCTAAGTAACCGATACCAAGCGCCAAAGATGGAAGGGGACAATTGTAACACGTTACAAACGTCCCCCAACTTGTTGTTACAATTGTCCCCAAAATGCATTTTTCTTAAATTATTAATTTAAACCAAGAATCAATTTCAGTATGAAATTAATAGCGTGTGGAGTGAATGACACAATATCTAACCAACGTGCAGGTAAGATTTGAACGTAATCAAGCAACATTTAGTCACCTAATATACAAAAGGATTGAGTAGGTAATAGTTTACTTACGGTTCACAAATACACAACACTTCACGCGGTGACGATTGTAACGCAACTAACGGATTCAAACTCCTGTGGCAAATGGCATCCATTGTGACCTTCCTACAGATGCAAGCGCGCGAGTTTGAAATTACTGTGGGCGAAGATATTGCCGCTGTTACAATT